AACATCATTAAAAATTTCCCTTCCGGCGGGTTCATATTAAGATTTTATGAAAATGAGAAAAGGTCAATTTAGAATCATGATTCTTGAATTTTTTGCTTGCGGGTTTGAATAATAATAATACTACGTTATACGTAGAGGTTATAAATTTTTTTAAAAAGAAAAGTGAAAATGAAATTTTTTAAAACGAATAGATAGCTAATAGTTCTTATTATATAGCAGTATAGTCTATAATCAATCCGGGATTGCAATCTAGATTAGCTTAGCAATTCAATCTAATTTAATCCGGCTTATTCCTACTAACTAAGTAATCTAATTTAATCTAATCCGGCCCCTTTCTAAAGCAATCTAATTTAATCTAGCCCTTTTTTAAAGCAATTTAATTCAATCTAGGGGCTAAAGGGCTAAATTAGGTAGGTATAAGAACCTAATTAAGTAAAGTCTCCTATCCTGCCTTAGCAAGCCTATATAACAATTATATAATATTATTACGTGCACTACGGTGCTGTCTCGCTAGTATAAAGCCTACTTAGCGTATACGCGGAAAAGCTCGGTCGCTTATATAGATATACTCGGTTGCTAGCTCGGTATATATACTATCCGTACGTAGCCTAGTTAATAGTAAACGCTCTGCCCTATTCTAAGAAAGGTACGGTTTAGTTCTACTATCTACTACTACGATTAGTAGAGGGTATTCTATACGTTACTATATATCTATTTTCTTATAGTTCTAAACCGTCTACCCTTTATAGCAGCCTATAGAACCCTAAAAGATAAACGCAAGCGATCCGAATACGCCGGGCGCGGGAAACGCGTAGAATAATGCCCTAGGAGCGCCGATAGTATTAGAAAACAACGCGGCGATATAATAAGACAAAGCCGAATATTAGGCGCGCCGAGAAGCGACCTACCTATAGCTCGAACGATTTCTAGCTAAGTAAGAAGTGCTTAGGCTAGAAGTGTAGGCTTAAGAAGCTAAGCGAGAGAATGCGCGTCTTCGTACCCTTAGGGACGCCGGCGATACGCTAGCTCTAAGTAGCGGTACTACCGGCGAGGGTCCTACGAGGACTTTACTCCTAGGCGAGGACGAGGACGAGGACGAGGCTACCTCCTATTAGGCTTGTAGGTATAAAGAATCAAACTGCGACCGAGTGTACGTAATAGATTAGTAGTTAGGGCTAGCTTCCGAACTTTCCGACTAGCTAATTACAAATATACCTAATAATTCTTCGCCTATAAGCCTAAGAACAAGCTATACTAAACTAGCCTACGATATACTACTTTTTCGCGACTATACAAATATAACAATCTAAATAGCGGAGATTATAGCCCTGCTAATTGCGCTTTATTCTACCTACTAAAAAAGTCTATACGACGTTAGCGCGTTAAGTTTTCGCTATTCTGCTAAGCCGACTCAACTGTAGCTATCCGGTTTGCTAGGCGGCTAGCTATACTGCTAATATACGACAATATCTAATACACGATAATTAGTGTTTTAACACCTAGAGGCCCTTGTCTAGAGTAGTGCGATTATCGTTTATATAGACTATTTCCTTACGCGACAGTTTCTCGTTATATGCTAGCGACTCGGAGGAAATCCGACTCTTACAATATACTATTCGCTACTCGGAGGTCCTTACTAGGGTATTTTCGAACATCTTTTTAGTATAGTATAACTGTACTCGAGTTATTGTTATCGAGAAACAGGTCGAAAGTAGAAGCTACTCGAAGCCGCTAAAGTCGATATAAAAAACATCCCCTAAAACACCTAAAAACATATATCTAGCGGCCTAAGACTTTCCGATATATCGAGTAGCGATCTATCTTCTATACCGCCTTCCGATAATAGCCTAGCTCCGGATAGTAGCGCAATAGGATATAGTAATAACGAGGAAATAGGCGGTATAGAGCTAGACGACGAGGACACTACTTTACCGAAAGGACTACTTCTTTTCGGTCTATAGATAGATCTACTAATGTATCTAAGCAGCGGTTTCTCTAACCCTCTAGAAGAAGTAGTAAGACTAGCTAGTATATAGAAGATTAGCGCCTTTTAGGATAAGGTATTAGAATAAGAAGAAGATAAAGACCTAGGCGAGGAGGATATAGAGATATCCGATAACGAAAAAGAGCTAGAGGCTCGCGAAGAAGATAACGAAAGCGATAACGATATCGAGGACGAGAGTAATAGCGATAGCGATAATATAACTATAGAAGAGCGGCGAGCACTCTAGGTCGCCTATACGAAGGTCCTCGACAACTACTATAAGGAGATTAAGCAGCTAATACGCAAGTATAAGATTACTATACCTTACCTAGTCCGGTTTCTAGTTAGTAAGCTAGGCGAGAAGGCATTATTAACTACGCCTAGGGATCTAGACTAACTAAGCGTATTAACGAGACGATCTAAGCGGTACGAGAAGAACCTCAAGTCCCTTATAGATACTTTCCTAGAAGAACGCCTCTTTAGCGGTCGTATTGTCCGCTTAGAGCTTAAGACTCTTATCGGTAAGGATCTTTTTAGTACTTATAACCTAGACTTTAGTTATACCGAACTCGACCTTAGCGGTATAGATAGCACTATCTAATAGTATACCCCGACGTAGTATTGTCTTCTTAGTATAGAGCTTCTTCCTAATCTTCGTAAGGATACTACTTAGTACTAGGAGACATTCTAAGACAAGTATTATTTAATCCGGAAGCGGACTACTATAATTACGTCGTAGGTCTTGTTCTCGATAGCTTACGTTAAGGCTTCCTTCTTTCTAAAGGCCTTAGGCATCTTCCTTATTAGTAATAGCGCGAGCCGACGAGTACTCGAGTATCTAAATAACCTAGGGCTCGTCCCTTCGTACCGCACTATATAAATTCTTATAGGCAAGAACGTAGAAGTCTAGATATAGAAGATTAGTAAGATAGCGAATAATCCTAAGAAGTAGTACGCTTAGACTATTAATAACTTTAATCGTATAGCGAACTATACTATCTAGCGGTCTAGTAAAACTAACAAGATGCTAAGCATTACTATATCGTACCTTATAGAGAATAAGAACATTCCGGAAGGTAGTTTAAAGAAGGGCATAATCTATTACGACAGGCCTCTTAATCTATACGATATTTTCTAGAATATATACGAAGACAAGGCTAAGACTAAGGTTCTAGTTCTAACTGCGACTACGACTACGACTATAGCCGATATAGATACCGAGACGACCGAGAACGAGACGACCGAGATTAGTAAGAAGACCGCTATATTCTATATCGACGAGGCTATCGCGTATACCTTCCTAAAGGACGTAAAGAAGATCTTCGATAGAGAGAAGGAAGAAGATAGCCTAGTAGTCTGTCTACTATAGCTAGTCGTCGATAAAATGCTAGCTAGTTAGACTAAGGTACTCTCTATACTACCGTCGTTTAATAACGAAGCAATAATTGTAGGTATATACGCTATCTAGGACGACATTCTTCTAAACTTTATAGAGCTAGATCGAGACAAGGATTTCTAGAATAGACTAGACGGACCGCTAATTATATGCAACGGAGACTAGATAACTGTTCTACGTAGTCTCTCTATCCGCAATAAGAGTATTAAGAGCGAGGACGCGTACGACAAGCGAGACAATCTCCTATTCTCTCCTACCTAGTTTTATACTATAATAAACTACGGTCTTATATTGCTTAGAACCTATTAGTAGGATACTAGAGAGGGCGACCCTTTACTAGTGTCTTAGACTCTTAAAGCTAATGCTACTTTCTAGTACAAAGAGAACAAGATTAGCAAGGATAAGGCTAAATTCTTCGAGGTCTAGCAACTGTTAAAAACTAGCTTCCGATCTCGCATTATTGCTCTTATTGTCTAGTAGCTTACCGATAAAGGCCGAGTAGTAATCGCTAGGGAAGAGAATCGCATAGAGATAGTAGGGAGCGCTATTTCTCGAATAACTAGCGATTAATACGTCTAGCTTGTCGAGAAGATATATAACGACGTGCTATTACCTACTACTTAGCGCGGTTAATCCGGAACAGACCTACAGTTTACGACGATAGCCCGAATGCTAAAGGAGATTAAGCAGTTCTTAACATTACGCAAGGCTATCCGCAATATAGATATTAGTTATCTTCGTAGATTAGTCGACTTCTTAATCCTAGTATTCTTTAGTATAAGACAGGGTAACTATAGGCGCTTAATGATTTATTTGCGTTAGCTCCTAGGTCCTAGTACTAATCTAGTAGTACAACAAGCGATCCTTACATCTAGCATTATCTCTATAAACGGCAATAAGGGCTACGCTATTGCAGCTAACGAGTGCCTTAAGCTCTATAATTACGAGTATTCTAAGGACATTAACCGGCACGCTAATTTGACCTATAATATACATGCTACATTTAAGAAAGTAGTATTAAACCGAGAGCTATCTAGAGTGTTGCGTACTATAATAAGCAATATAACCGGTATTAAGCCAAGTAGCTACTATACCTATAAGGACACCTCTATCGATGTATTTAGTAGAGCGGAGAAGTTATACTCGGACGGATACGCAAAGCCGTATAGCAACCCTAGCGGCAATGTCTCTAATAATATCTAGCAGCTCGGAGGGATACAGATCCTAGAGAAAGTAGCTAACTTTAATAATAGCCTTAAGGAGTATTACTAGGGTCGTAGTACTATATCGATAGACGAGGAGATAGAGGCTACTACTAATACTAATCGTATCGCTACCGGTAATCTTAGTACTATCGAAGACTCT